AATAGAGAGGTGACTCAGTGGCTAGCATCGTTGCTTCGCAGCAAGAAGGTCGCCGGTTCGCGTCCCGGTGAGGACATGTGGGATCTTTCTGAGTGGAGTTTGCATGTTCTCCAAGCTTCCTCCCACACAGTCCAAAAACATGTTGAGGTTAATTGGTGATTCTAAATTGTCCGTAGGTGTGAATATGAGTGTGCTTTGTTGTCTGTCTCTAAGTGTAGCCCTGTGATAGACTGGTGACCTGTCCAGGGTGTCCCCTACCTTCGCCACAAGTCAGCTGGGATAGGCTCCAGCCCCCCGCGACCCTTGTGAGGATTAAGTGTATAGATAATGGATGTCCCTAATAGAAGCAGAACTGAGGTAACTGCTGGATGTGTAGTTGTATAAATGCTGCTGCAGTGAAATAGTTTTAACAGATGTCCTCTCTGTCATAGGGAGCTGAAGGAGATCCTGGGCTGCAGCAACCATCAGACCTGCATGAAGGAAGCTGTCCTGCTGGATTACTACGTCTGTGGATGGTGGTGGGCTAAGGAGGCCAGCTTTACTCCTGCACAGGCCTCTTTCACCATGGCTGTGCTGCACATACTGCTGGATAACATCAGAGGTGGGGAAGACTGAGAGAAGAATACAGTATTCCTCAGTTATTTCTCAGTGTTGTGCAAGTTTCTGAAATATGTTATGGCTTACAAGAGAAAGTATCTTTTCTGTGACTACATCATGGCAGTGTTGCTGTGACACAGTTGGCCAACACGTGTCAACATTTGGTTTCTGTAACTGTTATTTTACTAATCAGATGCCTGAAGTCTCAACTATTGGATGTCTGTCTCAGTCATCCAGGTCATGGTTCTCGTAGTTTAATCGTAGCAACTGGACTTGCTTGATTTTCTTGAAAACGTTTCACCTCTCATCCAAGAGGCTTCATCAGTTCTGACTGACTAGTTGAGAGTACCAGATACTTATATTCTTAAGAATCCATTAACGCTTGAGTTTCGGTTTCATCTGGGGGTTTGTTGCTCCTCCTCCTTGTTATGTGAGCCGTTAGGACTCCCCCTGCCACAATGGGGTTTGTTAAGGTCTTTTGTGGCTCGGTGTGAAAGTAGGTTCATCTTCCTGGGGAGAGTTCTTAAGACTAAACTGTGAACAGGTGAGAGGTGACCTCACCTCTGTTGAGTGAAACTTAGAGTAACACTTAAGTAACATTTAAGTGAAGTGAAACTTAAAGTCAATTAAGTCTTAAGAGCTCTCCCCCAGGAAGATGAACTCACATTCACACCTAGCCACAAAAGACCTTGACGAACCCCATTGTGGCAGGGGGAGTCCTAACGACTGACATAACAAGGGGGAGGAGCAACAAACCCCCAGTGGAAACCAAAACTTAAATGTTAAGGATTTAAGTATCTATAACTTCCAACTAGTCAGTCAGAACTGACGATGCCTCTGGGATGAGAGGTAAAATGTTTTCAAGAACCTCAAGCAAGTCCAGTTGCTATAATGAAACTATGAGAATCAACTGTTTCATGTGTTCAACAGCGTACCTGGCAATCAGTCTTTTTTGCTTTGCATAGTGTACAGACTGTACAAAGGGATTCTTGGGTTTAAAGCCAGGCTGTGGTTGTTTGGATGGAGTCCATGCTCAGCAGCACTTGTATTGGGTTGTTACGTGAAAAGCACAAATTGTTGTTTGATCATGTGTTTCTGAAAATTATCTCTAATTGATATGGAAGTTCACACTTGCACATAGACTGCCACTCACCAGTAGGTTTTTGTCCTTGATCTCAAGGAGAGGAAAATAATGTCCAAATTTAGCAAGCTACCATTGGCTAAATGGTTGATGGCTAGTATGTAGGTTAATGCTGACTGATGAATTCAGTCATTCATTGCACCACCATGAGACCAGGTGATGTTAGAAAATTTAAATAGGAAAATTGGGCAATAGGCTGCATTCGTCTGCTGTAATCATCAGTTGCACATTAATATTTCTGAAGTAAAGAGTAGCAAGCCCATGTACATTTCAACTAGTTCAATTGTGTTATTAACTTGAAAAGGTAAGTGACATTATTGTAGTCTGACTCACTGGATGTCAGCTGCTGGTACAAGCTTGTTGCATATTTCACACAGCTTTCTGTTCTCCTTCGCCAATCTATGCATTTTAAAAATCATCTTCACTACCGGAAACAACAACGATAGGTATCATGCAGTAAAGCAGCCCTTATTAACAGTTCTTGCCTTCCAGCGTGCAGATGTTTCATCAAATAAGTTCTCTGTCATTACTTTGCAGGGACACTTTTGCTGGAGTCTTGGCTTATCATTTCCCAAAACGATTGTGACTGAAATACAAATAAGCCAGAGTGAATTATAGTAATCACATTAAAAACAATATCTTACATCTCCATTTACCTTATTAGTGTCAACAATTCCCCTGTGCAGCAAAAACCCTGCATGCTGTGTTTATTAGCTGACACTCTAATTGTGGTTCTCCTCCTTAAGTGCACAGCTTTGTGTCAAAGTGGAATAAATGTGAAGGATATAGTGAAGAGTAGGGTTAACATATGACTGCCTTAAAGGGAGTTACCGTACATTATTCACATGTGTAATATTTGTCTACACCCAGTGTGCGTACACGTTCAAGTTCAACGTTCTGCAATAGCAGTGCAGTCAACAGTAGCCAGCCGCCAGAAACTGAACAAAGACAGCCTTGTGATAGCAAAGTCTTTTCACTATAAATGTGTTTTGCGAGTGTTGTAGGTAGTTTCTAAAGCTTACTTACCACTGCCAGTGATGACTATGTCTGACAAAGCAGCAGAAACTTGGCACTGGGGGTGGGTGATACGGCAAAAATATCATATCATGATTATTTTATTATAAAATCAGCATTTTGATTTTATCACGACCTTAGATGTATTTTTTGAGACTAATTTGCAAGTTTCTGGTCAGTACAACCAGACCATTTCTGTATGTAAAGTGATTGAACAAGTTCGTCGTGTTGCCATCCGATGTGTGAACTGTCTCTGTGCAAACTTTACAAATTACCGTTGTTTGCACTTTGTCATTTCAAATCAAATCAAATCAAGTTTATTGTCATTTTGCTGTACATAGAATAGAATAGAATACAATAAAAATACTTTATTTATCCCAGGCCTGGGAAATTATTGTGATACAGCAGCAAAAACAGAAAAAAACACCAATCACAACAGAAAAGGGCTAAAGTTAAATACTGTTTTAAAAAAGGAAAAATAAAAATAGAGTGGAATTATAATAAAATGAATTAAATAAAATAACTGTACAAAATGTGCAAATTGAAAAAACAGTGAAAAAGACAAAAGATTTTACAGAGCAGAGAGCTGAGAATGCTCTCTGCCAGACAGAGGTGAGGTGTTGTAAAGAGTTATTGCTCTGGGTAGGAAAGATTTCCTGTACTGGTCCTTGTGACGGAGCTGAATCAGTCTGTTTGAGAAGGAACTCCGCTTCCTGCCCAGAAGCGGGTGGAGAGGGTGGTCGGGGTTATCCAGAATAGATAATTGTTTGTTCTGTTTTCTCTTCTCTCTTCCCTGTTGTCTGGTTTGTGGTTTGTTGCTGATTCCTGCTTCCTGCTTTGTTTTTTGTTTGTTCTGTTTTCTGTTGTTGCGGTGTTTGCTGCTGCGTCGCCTGCAGCCTGGAGCAGTGCACTGTGCACTGGCGACTGCTGACTGATGTTCGATATTTTGCTTCTTGCTGTGCAGGCTGTCGGCTTTCTGCTTCCTTAGAGTGTGGTGTTTTCTTTTTTGTTTCTTGTTGTTGGTTTTCCAGTTCAGTCTGCTGTCAATGTGGACGCCCAGGTACTTGTAGTCCTCCACCGCTTTGAAGTCCTCTTCCAGGATGTTCAATGGCTGTGTGGCCGTCCTCTTCTTCCTGAAGTCGATCACCATCTCCCGGGTCTTGGCCACATTCAGGAGCAGATGGTTCCTTCCAGACCACTCAACTCACCAGCGCTCTGTACTCCTCATCCCGTCCACCACGTACACACCCAACCACTGAAGAGTCGTCAGAGAACTTCTGCAAGTGGACCAACTCAGAGTTGTACTGAAAGTCTGAGGTTTTCAGGGTGAACAGGAATGGAGAGAGCACAGTGCCCTGTGGGGTGCCTATGTCACTAACCACATCAGACAGAGCAGCTCCAAGATGGACAAACTGCGGGTTTGGCCTCCAGCTTCCTCCTGTAGGAGTCCTTGGCCCTCCTCAGCTCCACCTTCAAGTCATGCTGTAGCCTCCTCATTTCCTCCTTGTCCCCAGACCTGAAGGCCTTCTTCTTGTTGCTGAGGAGGACTTTCAGGTCACTGGTGATCCAGGGTTTATTGTTTGAGAGGCAGCATACAGTGTTGGCTGACAGAGTGGTGTGTTCACAGAATTTTATGTATTCTGTGATGCAGTCAGTCATGCTGTTGAGGTCCCCCCCATGTGGATCACACAGCACTTCCCAGTCAGTTGACTCAAAGCAGTCCTGCAGAGCCTCTTTGGCCTCCTGATTCCACCTCCTAACAGTCCTTGTGGAAGCAGGCTGCCGTTGCACAAGAGGAACATACTTTGGTGTCAGAAGGACCAGGTTGTGATCAGATCTGCCCAGTGGGGGGACGGCGGTGGCACTGTACGCATCCTTTGCATACAAGAGGTCCAGTGTTCTGTTGTCTCTAGTGGGGCAGTTAACAAACTGGTAAGAAGTTGGGAGAATTTTATCCAGTGTGATGTGGTTGAAGTCCCCAGTGATTGTGTTACGGTCAGTTCACAGACCCACGTGCAGAGCAACAAGACACAGGAGACAGATGTAAAAAATAAAATAATTTATTTTACAGCAGGGCAAAGAAAACACTAACCAAGCTGGTGGTATAACCACAGACGGAAAGCTAAACTAAAACTAACGATAACGAAAGACGCACTCGGAAACCGAAACTAAAACTACACGAGTGGTAATGCAGGCATGAAGCTAACTCAAACAAAAGGCTAAGGAAACGAAAGCTAAGCTAGAACGAGGAACAAAAAGCGACTAAGCAAATAAGACTCAGTGAGACACTAGGAACAAGAAGCTACACTAAAGCACACAAAGCTATAACAGGAATAATAAACTACACTATAGAAACAAGGGACGCGAAACTACACTAAAGCACACGAAGCTAGCGGCTAACAACTTAGCTGAGAGAAACCGGAGAGGGAGCGGGGAAGGCAGGCGGAGCGGAATGCAGACGGCGCAGCAGGACGGTGGTGAGGACGGGGAACCAGGGAGACGACAACAGGGAGTCCAGCAGGGAACGGAGGGAGGAGATGGGGGTGGTTGGAGGAGCACACACGCTGGCTGGTGGAGTCCTGGGGAGCGGAGAGACAGTTAGTCACAGAGCAAGCAAGGCACGGAGCAAAACGAGAGCTAGAACAAACACTGACTATCAGTTGATCACGGTCCGGCGTCTGCTGATGGTTTGGAGCTGGTTTAAGTACTGGCAGAGAG